GAAAGCATTATATTTATAAAGACATTTTGTACGAAGATTCAAATTAGCATAAAACTGCAATTTTCCCTAATATTAATAGCACCTCATAACTATATTACGCCACGTGATACTAAAAATAGAAATGGGAAACCCCCTCAACCATTGTCCACATCTGCAAAATGTTGTCATTAACATCTAAAATTTTACAATATACTTCCTAAGTAATGAGCAATGACATCTAAAAAGTGCTTAAAAAGGTGCAGTGATCTACATTTTCTCCATTATTCGAATAATCTATTTTTAGACCATTGTTGATATGAAATGGAACAAGAGTTCATCTTCAATATTGTGGAAAATATTGCACAAACACATGCACATTCTGAAAACATATTGTAAAAAGCTTTATATTTGTTAAAACTTTTTATATGAAGCTTCCAATTAGAACAAAAATGCCATTTTTCATAATATTCAGAGACATCTCTATATTTAGCCACCTGATACTAAAAATAGAAATGGGAATTCCCCTCATCAATTATTCATACCTGCTAGTGGTATCCAGATTCTATCATTAACATCTAAAATTTTACAAAATATTTCCTAATTATGCAGCAACTACATTTAAAAATTGCCTGAAAAGGTGCAATAATCTACATTTTCTTAATTATTCGAGTAATCTATTTTTAGACCATTGTTGCCATTAAATGAAACAAGAGTCCATCCTCAATATTGAAGCAATTTTTGAACAAACACATGTACATTCTGAAAGCATATTGTAGAAAGCTTTATATTTGTTAGGACTTTTTATATGAAGCTTCCAATTAGAACAAAAATGCCATTTTTCCTAATATTCAGAGACATATCTATATATAGCCACCTGTTACTAAAAATAGAAATGGGAATTCCCCTCAACCGTTGTCCATACCAGCTAGTGGTGTCCAGCTCTTGTCATTAGAATCTCAATTTTACAACATACGTTCTAATTATGCAGTAATGTCAATTTAAACTTTGCCAAAATTTGATTTTTCACATTTTTCTGAAATATATCTATTTATAGATACATGTTACTAAAAATAGGAGCAAAAGCCCACTTATGTTTTATCATGAAATGACACTACTTATTCCCAAGTATAATAACACATCTAAGATTTGGGAAAATTCCGCGGACAATTTTTCTTATTTAGCCTCAAAGATCTCAAACAATTCCAGTTTCCCCATTTTTCAAAATTTAGAAACCATGTAATTTTGCATGACCTTTTTTCTTACAGGAGATATATTTCTAGAATAAACGATTATATGCCCTGTGTACCTTAAAATGTCATGTTATCATATGATCCAATGATTTTTGTTAGAGTGTATTAGATACCGATAAATATTCATTTACATTTCCTCAATTTTCATGTTTTTATTAAGTCAAAATGGGCGAAAAATGGCCGAATTCAATGGATCCGTCTCCATAGCAACCAAGTGCACGTGTGGAACTTCCGACACCATATTTACTAGTTTTGTACCAAAACACACCTGTGGTAAAAATTTCATCAAAATCCGAGACATGTCGTTTCCAAGCCCTGTAGTAAATTCGTTGATGCTTACAGAGAATGCGTGTTAAATTGTGAAAACTTATTTTACATCCACATATAATGATTTATTACATGCACACAATTTTTTTTTGCTGCCACTTGAAAGTATAAAGGATTTCCAGGCAAGCCTTTCAAGGGATTCCTTTGGCCAAAATCAAAACTTAAAAACCCTCATACAGTTTAATATAAACTTTAAAAAATTCTGGCAAACTCTTAACAAATAGGAGATACAGTGACCAGAAAATATGAATGACAGATCAACAGACAGACCAATGGAGAAAACATTACATGTATAACAAATAAACATTCTTTAGAAAGTGGAGGTAAAAATAGTCCTACAGTGGCTGAAGTGGAGTCCAGTTCCATGGATTGACAGGGTGTGTCCATCTTGATCTCCACCCTGGGGTCCTTCAGTAACGCATCAGTCAGGCCCTCCACAAGCTGTCCCGTCCCCCGACGGAGATTCCAGATCTGCCACGCCTCCTCAGCAGCGCGGCGTACCAACTCACAGTCATGTTTCTTCAGCTCTTTTAGATAAATTACAAACAAATGTGTTTCAATTATACATGTTCTTTGTTTACAATTTTATGACTTACCAATATTTTTTTTTTTGTTTTGCTTATTAAATTTTCACATACAGTTTTTTTTAAATATTTTGTTCCAATAATTACAACTAGTTTGAATGTGCACCTTTTTTACAGCCTCTAATTAGCCCTATTATTCAGGCAGGGGGGTTGGGGGTTGGACGGATCAAAAACATAGTTTCTAGGGCATTACCTACCATCAGAAAATTCTCCATGAAGTAAACATGGGAATTAAACCTCGTATGTGTGTAGTCTGGACCTAAACTTCATTAAATGCAAAGATACATCAAATATATCATAGAAAAGGTTATCATTTCTTTCTTTACATTTTTTAAATGATGAAAAGTGACTACCTTTGTACAAAATTTTGATATCTGATAAGCTGTTGGTGCCAAGTTGACAATTTTAGGTGTTTTTAAAGCTTTGCAGGCCTGAAAACTTGCAATGAAACAAACTGCTTTATAAGTGCCAAGTCATCCAAGTCAAGTCAACTTTATAAGTACATGTATGTATAAGGGTGCACTTCTATTTTTAAAAGAATGACTAGAGCATATATATATTCTCTATTAAAAAAATATCCCTAGTACACAATTAATTAAGAAAAAACAGATACCCACCTTCCCTGGTCTGCTTCATTTGATGTTGAAGCTGTATCAAGGAACTGCATCCTGATTTTCCAAAAAGTGAGAACTTATAGCTTATATCAGCAATACTGCTTGCAAATATTCCTCTAAACATTGAATCAGCAAATGCCATTATCTGTCAGTAAAACAGAGGTGATATTAGCTTAAACTTAAAAAAGATCACAACTATAAGTTCTACTAAAAAGGAGCCATATCTTCTGAGTTTTCTTTATAGAGAGATTTTTTTAAAATTTAAATCTGGGTTGAATTACCAAGTTAAATTTTAAGGGAAAAGCTTTTCCTCACAATATTTTTTTCATGTCAAAGGAGTGGTAGCTTTTATGTAGTGAAGAGTTATATTTCTCTGACTTCATGAGACAAAATAATGTACATGAACATAAACAACTGACATCTTCAAAATTTACTGCAATCAATTTGCATGTACGGTAGAACACTTAATTTTTGTGACACCTTATATTTATAAGAAAGCTATTAATTTACTCTTTATAAGCAAGACAAAATTTTCGCGAGTTGTGTTAATGCTGTATGCAATATTTAGGAGTACTAGCATATGCTAGAATATTTTCGCAAGCACAGTGTCTTGCGCAATTATGCCAAAATAAAGTTCTCACTTATAAAAAGTGATCAAAGTAATTGATCCATTGGCATGATCATGACTTCGGGCTACACATGCCTGTGCCGTTTTTTATTTTTAAAAGTGATTTATTAACAATATTAATGAATTAGCACATTGTTGACTGCACCAGTTGCTAAAATAATTGGATTTAGTCAGCTTTTTATGTACAAAAAAATCATAGGTCACAGAATACAGCCAGTTTGGTTGATGACCAAAAAAAAAAAAAAAACAGTTTTTCTAACATATAGACAGTTATTGTTATTTGTTATTTTTTCATTCTCTATAAATCATTTCTATAGAGAATAATACATACCCTTTTCCATATCACATCCTGTATCAGCCCGAGACACCAATATCAGCCAGAGGGCCGAAGGCCCGAGGGCTGATATTGGTCGAGGGCTGATACAGGATGTGATGTGGAAAAGGGTATGTTTTATTATATTTATTACATACTTAGTAATAAAATACAGAACACATTCAGTTGAGAAGAAAGTAAGTAAATAATCATGCATGGACTTCTTACATACATGTACATAGTCTAATGTCTCATAAGATTTGGGTTTGTTTCTACTTCTATTTCAATGCACTTGATCCGTCATTTGAAAATATTCTATAGTATTACATGTATTTGTAAATTAATATTAACCTTATTTTCAAAAAGTTAAAATTAAGAGAATATGAACGCACCAAAAATTGTGTATGATCACAAGTACTGTTTTGTGGTTTAATTTACTAAGGGTGTGATATTGACGTCACAATAGCCGTATCAGCCCTGCAGGGCTGATATGGATTTGCAGGGCTGATACGGATATCAGCCCCGCAAATCCATATCAGCCCTGCAGGGTTGATACGGCTACTGTGACGTCAGCCATATAGCATATGCAAAAAACCTGTATTTATTACTAAGTGTGTAATAAATGATTATAATCTCATGGATTTGTTTTCACAAGTGAAATATTCACCTCTGGGTTAGTTCCAAATCTCTTGGAAAGAAAAGAGTGAACGGACTCATCCTCTACAGGAGATAGAATCCATCTGTCTTTAAAAATTCCCTTTAGGACGGCCTTAGTCAGATTCCATTTATCAAACTCTAAAACAATAAAACATATTGATATAGATGTATATAGGAGTGTTAATGTATCTCAAAATAAACACTGTAATATATACTCTGAGAATCTAGGTCCAGTCTAATTAAAATCAGCTCTCCTTCTTTCTGACACAATTTCACAATTATTGATGGAAGAACAAATCTTTTCTACAGGGGGATTTAAAATTAATTCTTACTGGTTTAGAGTCTCTCAATTAATTACCCCTGGTAAGTAAAGTGTTTTAGATCTTTATCAGATTAAATGAAACATTCAATAATGTATTTCATGATTCACATGATCTTGGATAGGTAATGTCATAGGATTAAACCTTGTGGAAATTCCTTTAGTTTTCCGTTGATAAAAAGCCTTCTCCTCATTTTCTCCTTTGACACAGTTATAATTTCATCTTTCAGACCAAGCATATCCACCTAAGAAAACATAATAAATCAAGACAGGTTTACACGTTTTTAAAATGAAATTAGAATCTTTAATGTAAACATTGATTACTCTATGGTAAAAAGAATTCTATATCATCTACTAGTTGCATTGTAATTACTAGTTCTAACGTGGTTGCCTCTGCTCTTCCTCCTCCACGGAAGCTTCTTGGTCCCCCTTCCAGTACTGTACCATCCTGTAGGCGCTGTGTCTGAATCCACCCTCCTAGTCTATTGCTGCCCTCTATCACAACTATCTGTAGAATAGAAAATAAGATTGTTACAGTAACAATATTTTTACTATTCAATAATACATCTATCCAAAAACAGACCAACATTTAGCCAGATTAATGTATC